CACACAGTGAGAAAATGGGAGATATAAATAGATACGTAGATCCTATAGTCCACACGGTAAAGTCATGGGAGATGTAAATAGATACGTACACCCTACAGTCGACACAATGAGACAATGGGAGATATAAATAGATACATACTTCCTGCAGTCCACACAGGAAGACAATGGGAGATATAAATAGATGCATACACCCTACAGTCCACACAGGAAGACAATGGGAGATATAAATAGATACGTACACCCTACAGTCCACACAGGAAGAAAATGGGAGATATAAATAGATACATACACCCTACAGTCCATAATGTGAGACAATGGGAGAGATAAATATGAATAAGGATATACATAGTTCGAAGTTAAATGGCAGATAGAATCAGAAACAGCTCAGAAAAGGGATATAAATAGTGCGAAGATAAATGGCATACAGAATCAGTATCAATCGACACAAGAATAGACAACTCACAACTCACAACGAGCGAATGATATATAGAGGGATGGCTAGTACAGGAGAAGCCACAGATCCAGTAGTCACTACCAGTACATGAAAAAGTTACATACGCCAATAGCCAGTGAAATACGCGAAGGCAAAAGGTTCTAGTATGTTGATGAAAGTCAGACACTCCCATACATTAACTAGAAAACGTACGTATACCCAATACGTGAACTGAATCACACAAACACCTCCCACGCTCTACTTACCTGGAGGTAGCCCGGGGGTGGTCCGTCGCGAAATTGATGTGGTTGTGGCATTTGGGCTATTATTAGCAGCCAATAAGAATCCGTTGGCAGCAAATCTGATCTCAGGAATGGCGGTAGTGGAGATATTGCTCGACACTGAGCTGTCCTCAGCCAACTGCATCCCAGCAACACCTGCAAGGGCTGTCTGTGGGTGTACATGAGCACATGGGTATGTGTGAGAGTACACATGCACATGGGTGTGTGTGGGTGTACATGTGCACATGGGTGTGTGTTAGTGTACAAATGCACATGGGTGTGTGTGTTCGTATGCATGTCATGTTAGTGTGGTTGTTGTATACAAACACAATGTACGTATTGGTATGTATGTCATGTTAGTGTGGTTGTTGTATACCTATACGATATACGTGTTGGTATGCATATGTCATGTTAGTGTGATTGTTGTATACAAATAAATGTACGTCTTGGTATGTTATGTTATGTTAGTTTGGTTGTTGTATACATATACAATGTACGTGTTGGTATGCATGTCATGTTAGTGTGGTTGTTGTATACATATACAATGTATGTCTTGGTATGTATGTTATGTTAGTGTGTTTGTTGTATACCTATACAATGTACGTCTTGGTATGTCTTCAGTTGTCGTTGTCTTTCCTATCAGACCATAGTCTGCCATCACATCTCATGTACATCCATGAAGCAAATGTGACTGATGCAGTGTACCATATGTGAACAATACATTGTTGTGTGTGATTCATCCATACTACAATATACACTATACTGCGTGTTTCATACATAGCACCTGATATATCCAGTTGTGTGTGTTTCATACAAAGTACATGTGTGATGATATATACAGTTGTGTGTGATTCGTACATAGTATCATGTGTGCTTGATATATACAGTTATGAGCGTGTTTCATACACATGTGCGCATGTGTGCTTGATATATACAGTTATGTGCGTGTTTCATACACATGTGCGCCTGTGTACGTCACACCTTGAGGATGAGTTGGCCAGTCACCTGTGTGCCCATCGACTGCTTATCCGTCAGATCGACACAGACACTCTCCTCTGCGCATGAAAAGCAAACGCAGGGCCAGGTTGTCAGCTGACACGCGGTGTCAATGTGTCACACAACTGGTGTCTCGTGAGACACATGCCCCTTCACCATGGCAACCAGAATGAGCCACACTTTCATTGGCCAGGTGTCTGTGCCACACGACAGTTCACAACAAATTTCAGTTCAACCTTAACACGTGACACCCACGAGCGTACTACCGTATGGGGTAGGTGTGGCGTGTCATTTCGGTGTCGTGTCAAATGTTATGAGTCATGCATGTATGAGGTCAAGTGCATGTCACTGCGTGTGCTCTCTGACGGAAGGTGTATTACCAGTCCCACACAGGTTACCTTTGACCGTGCATGTAACCACCAATTGACTACCATTGGCCCTTTAGTTATATATATATACATCTATCTATATGTACATATTTCGATGAGAACATTATGGAGATATATACACTTTTTTAACATTACCTATTAGGACATACAAACACCATTATCATATCATTGCAGATATATAATCACCACTATTACACTATTTATAATTAACAGATACACATATATACCGCATATAGACAAACATGCAGCACTAATATGCTATTAATAGATAAAATATCTACCATTTATAGATGTACACCCACACCATTGGTTTTCCATACCGTGGCCCGTGTCCAGAAGATCCAGCGTAACTGTACCCAAACAGTAATCGGCTTTAAAGACATTACGAGCCATCACATCCACCACCACCTTGCTATGGTTTTGTACCAACCTGCGATGAAAGCGAAGAAACACATATCAGCCAAGGAAGACACGGGGCAATATACATATAAATACACACACACATATATAGATATATATATTACACATATACACATACATATATATTTACATACATACATACAGAAACACAGACATACATACGTACACACATGTATGCATGCATATATATATAGTGATGAATAAATGAACAACTTTACTAGAGCCCAAAATATGAAGCATAGCAGAAGAAGGTGGGGTGCGTATAAAAAATCTGTTACCAGGGCTTGCCAGGTTAGAAAGAAGTATATTCACACACACAGTTACATATACACCTATACATATGAAACAAATGTACTCACTATATCCATACGAAGACCACAGGCATCAATATAAGCCACATGCGGAGCATAACCATACACAGTATATGATGCGTTGAACACTGGCTCAGGAGCTTTCTCAACCATTTTAGTTCTGTATTTCTGTATCCTCTCCCCCTCAACCATCACCTGTGCGTATAGCCCCGTGGAGATACCTATGGGAAGCATCGCCATGAGAAGTGTAAGTCATGAGATGCATATCATATACATATATATACACACACATATATATATATATATATACTTATATATATATATATACCTATGGGAAGCATATCCATGAGTAGTGAAAGTCATAAGATGCATATATATATATACATACATACATGCATACACACACACACACACACACACACAC